TTGCCTCTGCCACGCCTCCGCGGAGTCAAAGATCTGCGTGGTGTGTCGTCCCGGCTTGGGTGCCTGGACTTGTTCTGCCAGGGCGCATTCCATGTCGCCTGGCCAGGCCAGGGAGCCGTGGACTCCTTGTTCACATAGGAGTCGGCTGTTTGTGTCCAATGCCCCCCACATGTGGGGCAATAGTGGTGGCTCCCTCGAATCGACTGCTTGCACGTCACACATCGCCACGAAGCCTGGGAAGCCATGACACAGCTCGGTCGCGAGTGGTGGCCTTCCAGAGCCTGTTTCGCACGGGCGAGGCGATCCGTAGGCACTTCCAGCCAGCCGGATGCCCAGGCCCGTAAGAGTGTGCGGGCACGAGTCCTCACTCGGCGTCGTCGACGGTGCCACGCTGGTTCCACCCCCGGTCTTCTCCGAAGCAGGGGTATTGTGGATGATCGCTACCACCAACCAAAAAAGGGCCCAGACCATCCACAGTCAAAACTGAAGCGCCAGGCCAGCCTCAAAGGACGTGAGGGGCTCCGGCGCGATTCCGATCCAGCCGCGAAGCGGGGATATATGGCCGCGCACACCTCGCGAAGCGTACAGTGTGCGGGCAGAAAAATTGGGGCGCTACTCCCAGGCCCAAGCGCAGTGTAGGGGCGTGACTCCCAGGATACACGCAGAAAAGCGGGCAAAAATTGCCGCGCCGGGTCAGCAGCTGCAGGTCGGAATGGGACTCGAAAGAGAAACTACCAAACCGGGGGCCTGCAGCCGAAACGCCTGGGGTTTACGGTTTAGGGTTTAGGTTTACTGGTTTAGGGTTTAGGGTTTAGGTTTAGCTTAGGGTTTTGGGTTTTGGGTTTGCAACAATCTGCCCCCCCTAGTCCTTGTAGAAACTCCCCGATCGAGTCATGAACCTCGTGCGACCAGTCTAAACTCCAGCGCGACCCCATACTCTAACTGCCGAGGCCCTTATGATACGACCCTATGCTATGATAAAAACATAGATTTAGATCTAAATCTAGGTCAGTCTAGTTCTAAGTATATGTATACATGTAAGTATTGACATAGATATTTATATAGATATAACTAAAAAGCTGTACCTATACATCTACATACATGCACAAATATACACGCAGCTGTAGGCTAGGAGTAGGAATAAAATGCAGAACATAAATATAGATATATCTATAACCTGGGTTTGCAGTACCATGCTTTAGTGCTGTTTTTTGGACCTGTTCCTTAAAGGAGTCATGAAGAAATAGCAGTCTATATCTTCTCTCTGGCCACTACAAAGTCTGGATAAACACAGATGTACATGTACATGTGATTGAAAACATGTATAAATACAACTATACTTGCAGATGTTCGTTGTTTGTATATATATATATGTGTATAACCCCTAAGATATTTAAGTTGTTAAAGACCTTATGGTGCAGCCATCTGTAACCATATATATCATATATGTAAAGTGTGCGCAAACATCTACAGAGACCGTTAAGTTCGAGTCATTGCTGCCTTTGTACGGAAGCCGTATGAAGCTCGTTTCAACTTCTATAGACCCCACAGAAAGAAACTAACAATTCACTATCAGTCATGATCACCTTAAACCCTCAACCCCCATAGAAAGAACAAACAACTCATTATCATGGGCCCTGTATCATTAAACCCTAAACCCTAAACCCTATACCCGAAACCCTAAACCCTGAACCCTAAACCCTATACCCTATACCCTAAACCCTAAACCCACCCTCAACCCTAAACCCTAAACCTTAGATTACACGGTCATGGCAGGAAACCCAAAGCCAACCCGAGGAGCAGAGCAGGTCAGGTCTTGCAGGGGGGCCCTCTTGGCTGGGTGCAGGATTGAGGGTTTAGGGTCTAGAGTCCAGGGTTTAGGGTTCAGGGTTTGGGATTTTCAGGGTTTTGGGTTTAGGGTTTGGGACTTTGGATTTGGGCTGTGTTCAGGGTTGAGGGTTTAGGGGTTCGGCGTTTCTTCATGTTTAAGGGGGGGTCTCCCGGGCCACGGCCCGAAGCTGCTACGGAGTTTTGTAATTTCAGAATCGGCTGTCCATGGAGTTATGCAGGATAAACCCTAAACCCTAAACCCTAAACCCTAAACCCTAAACCCTAAACCCTAAACCCTAACCCTAAACGTCGACCAAAGGTAGGTGCCTCGAGCCCGGACCCCGTTTTTTCGGTTCTCCATCGTACGTTTAGGGGTCTTGGGAGACCCAAGAGCCAGGGTTTAGGGTTTAGGGTTTAGGGGTTTAGGGTTTAGGGCATCTGAGTTGTTTAAATCCCTAAACCCCTAAAGCCCTAAACCTTAAAAGCCCTAAAGCCTTAAACCCTAAACCCTGGAAATCAAACAGTGCGTTTTGGTGTTGTGTGGGGTTGAGGGTTGAGGTGTACTTTGAGAGGATCATTTTTGGTGCGGGGGTGGGGGTGCAATGGTGCAGGATTTCGAGCAAACACTAAACCCTGAACCCTAAACCCTAAACCCTAAACCCTGAACCCTAAACCCTAAACCCTAAAGCCTTTAAACTGTAAACCCTAAACCCTAAACCCTAGACCCTAGACCCTAATACCTAGACCCTAAAGCCCAAACCCTGAACCCTAAACCCTAAACCCTAAACCCTAGACCCGAAACCCTAAACCCCGAACCCTAAACCGTTGAGCAAGAGAGCTGGATAAAACGAACCTGACACCCTGACAAGACCCTCTGAAGAGGACTGGGGTTTGGGGTTTCGGGCGTAGTAGGATTTAGGGTTTTGGGGTTTTGGGGTTTCGGGCGTAGTAGGATTTAGGTTTTTGGGTTTTGGGGTTTAGGGTTTAGTAGGATTTAGGGTTTAGGGGTTTAGGGTTTAGGGTTTGGGGCTTAGCCGCAACCCGCCCTTTCTCGAATCGAAAGACCGGGGATGCTGAAACTGTTCTCAGGGCGGCCGCCACAGCGGAAGGCAAAGCCCAGGCAGAGAGCGTATAGAAGCCACCAGGAGTTTAATTGATCTAATGTAGGGCCCTTAATAATTAGAATAGGGTTTGGCGGCCCCTCATACTATAACTATAATAAGGAACCCCCAAAATAGTATAGGTAATTATTTAGGCACCTATATTACAAGGGTTCTATCCGGGTTCGGGGGTTAGTTTTTCAAAAGCGTGAATATATCAAGAATGTTCCTAAGAGTTCCAGATGTTTCCTGTGTACTATAAGATACCCAAATTAAAACCTTATTCTGGTTATTTGGGCCTAAACCGTAAACCCTAAACCCTAAACCCTAAACCCTAAACTGACTGGGAGACCGAGTAACTGCATGGTCGCAGCTGGAAAGTTGGAAGGCCCGAACCCAAAGAAGGACATAAGCAGAAGCATTTTGTAGAGATATCCCTACCTTATCGGGCTTCATTATAAGGGGATTTATATGGGAGATCCCTATCCTCATTTTTGCTTATGTGCTTTTTTGGGGCCCTAAATTGGGACGGTTGATGCGGCAACGGCATCTTCCGACCTTTGCTGTCACGAAGTCCATCTTCCAAGTGGGTTGTTTCGGCTGAAGGGGTTTAGGGTTTAGGGTTTGGGGTTACGGTTGATGATATAGCATTACCTGCAGTACCCATAGTAAGGACTAGACCAGAATTCCCATAGCTTAGGGCCCTTCAGGTAATGCGGGGTTTATACTATTCACAGTACGTTTTGCCCACAATACACTTAAGTAGGTAACCTTAAACCCTAAGCCCTAAACCCTAAGGCTTAACCTTCTTGGGGCATTACAGTCCCTATATAACCCCAGAGGTTAACCTTTCGTTCCCCATGATACTCGACAAGTAAACCCCTAACCCTACAAGTCCTAGACCCCAAACCCTAAACCCTGTACCCTACTTACACCCTAAACCTCAAATCCTAAATCCTGAAACCTCTTATGACCCTTTTTGATAGGCCCGATGATCTCCCTGAGCAGGGTTTAGGGGTGTAGGGCAGCAGGGGTTTGGGTTTTTGGGGTTTGAGGGGTTTAGGGTTTGGGGTTTCTCGTTTAGGGTTTCGATATTTGGCTGGTGGTGTTGGGGTTTAGTATGTGTGCGGTTGTGTATTGGGATTTGGCAGGTTCACGTGTGGCTTAGCCATTTGGTGCTTCGAGCTATCCGCATTAGAGCTTTAGGGCCCCGAGTTTTAGACTGCAGGGGGTTGCGCAATTTCCTTCGACAGGGGAAGTATCACAGCATCCTCTCTGGCGGCGCGGTAATCGATGAAGACCACAATTTGCAACACGGCTACCTTACAGTGACGTTTACCTCTGAACCTCAGGCTCTGGCGTTATGTAGAGGCCTGAAAACCTACGGAGTTCTAGGCCCTCAACGGCCCTAAACCCTAAACAGGGTGTCGGTGTGCCAGTGCCGGGTTCAGGATTATTCGGGCTTCTTGTAATGGGCACATTGCGATTCGATTACAGTAACCACTATCTTCCTGCAGTTCCTTTCTTTGGTTTAACCAACTATATATTAAGGGTGTTTATGAGGTATCCCCAAAAAGAAACTACAATGGAGACTATAGGTACAACATTTGCATGTAGCTATGTCTTCGGTGTTTGCGTCTTCCGCATTTTCCTGGCTCAGTAGCATGAAGCCCTAAACCCTAAAGCCCAAACCCTAAACTGCACCATCTTAACCTAAAAAAGCCTCGAAGTCCAAACTCTAAAACTTCAACCCAGGACATTTTCAGGTGGGTAGTTACCGTTATAGGAGCCATATAGAAGGTCTATATACCTTATAGAGGCCTTATAGAAGCACTATACACCCTAAACTCCCCACCTGTAGTTTCCTTTAACCTAGACCCTAAACCCTAAACCCTAAACCCTAAACCCTAAACCCTAAACCCTAAACCCTAAACCCTAAACCCTAAACGCTAAACCCTAAACCCTAAACCCTAAACCCTACCAGCCTTAGCCACAAAGCCTTCATAAGTGAAGCCTGGATGCCCCAATACCCAACCTTTAATAAACTTTTCTGGGATCTTATAACTTGAGGTTTAATGCTTAGGGTTTAGAGTTTAGGGTTTAGTTCTGGGCTCTTACAATTTAGCAGTAATTTGCAAGTTTCAGCTTTTGATTCCCCATGGTTATTGGGGAAGTGAGAAGCCCCATACTAGAGCATTGTACCCTTGAAGCTTGTAGGATGCAGGGTTTAGCGTTTAGGATTTCTGGTTTAGAGTTTAGGGTATAACTAGCCAATAAGTGCGATGAGTATTACCAATGCCCCTGTTGACTTCAGGGCCTGCATTGAGGTTTTGGTCTTAGTGCTTGCGGCATATGGAAGTTTCGAAAATTCGGGTACTTTATGTTGTGGTCCCCATAATAAGGGTCCTACTATTTAGGGTACCAAATTATTAGGGTCCCCTATTTTCGGAAACTCGCATATACTCTGGACAATGAACCCTGGAGCTCAAACCCCAACCCTAGCCATTGAGTATATAGTTTGGCCTTGGAGGTTCTTCTATA